ATCGCGGAAATCTACTTGGGGATCGCTCCTGCCGACGCCCACGACGCTTTTACAGGCCCCTAGGCTGCGTGCTCGGAGCTAGGGGGGCTTTTGGGGTGGTGGAGCTACGGCGGGGGCTTCTAGGGGCCCCCAAGAGCTCCCACCCCCCGAGGCAAGGAGGAGAGATAAATGGGGAGGGGTCTCCCTCCATCAGCCGGAGCCCAGCTTTGCTGGGTGAATCTGCTGCCTCCCCCGCCCCGTCTCGGATTAAGCAATCGCGCCCCGCGATGTCGCAACCAACTCCGGGCCAACTTCTCCTTTTTTCTTGCCCTGTAAGCAAATTCGGGGGGGGGGCGCAGCGGGAGGGCGGGGCGCGGTCTCCCCTTCCCCAAAGAGGCTGCTGCGAGGCCCGTCCCGTCCGGCGGGAGGCGGGGAGGCGGCTGGCGGGTCCTGCCCTCCGCGGAGGCGGCGTCTCCGCCCAGCGCCCAGCGGGCATAAAAGGGCCGGAGCCGCGGCGGCACCAGCAACCGATCCCCGAGCGAGCAAGCCAGAAGTCCCGCCGCGATGTCCGCCATGCCCGCCGTCTGGCTCTGCCTCTGCTGTTGCCTGGCCGCCTGGCCCCTCTCGGCCACCCAGGCGCCGCCGCCAGGTAGGTCCCGCTCAGGAGGCCGGGAGGGGAAGGAGGAGGAGGAGGGAGGGCCGGCCGGGACTCGCCCCCTGCGGAGCCCTCGGGGGGCGGAGAGGAGGGGGCTGCCCTGAACTCCCCTGCCGCTGCCTTGCGGCTCCTTGCTTAGCCCGGGGACGGGGGCTTCTGGCCGGGCAGCCCACCCACCCCTCAAGGCAGCCCGCTTTCTGCCGCCGCTGGCCGGAGGGAGGGTCCGGGCGAAAGGCGCCCCTCGGGGGTCGCCTCCCCGCCCCGCTTGGGCGACCTGAAAACAGCTGGCTCCGCTACGGGCGGGTCCCAGGCCACCAGGCGGCTCTTGTGGGGCCGGGAGAGCGAGAGCGGTTCCAGCCCAACCCGCCACCCCCCCCCTCTGAATCCCTGAGGTTTGCTTCATTCCCTGTTTGCTGGCTGGTATCCTCCCCCCCCCCGGGGGGGGGAAGAGAGAGGGGAAAG